AAGTCCCACCTCCAGCTTCAGTTATCCACACTGCCACCCACTCTGAGAGAATGGATCGAAGGCGAGGGAAGCGGTCTCCTCTACCGTCGACCCTCGTGCACGGACTACGCACCCTCAGAGTGTGGCCGCCGAATGGGGAGTTGCCCTCAGTTGCCGCATCGGGCAGTCTCCTCACTGCCACGGCTGCGATTGAGGTCGATCCTCCGCCAGCGACCGCTCGTACTCTACCACGCGATCCGCCACTAGCAATACCAACGCGAGATCAACAGCCTCGTTGACGGCCACTTCGACCACCAGCGCCAGCTCCAGGGTGCGCGATGCATGACGGGTGCCAGCGGCATGGCATTGTGTAGCACGATGGGCTCAAGCAGTACGGCGCAGAGCAGCACGACGGGTACAATCAGCACCATGCTGCACTCCACGACCAGATCCAGCAATGCAATGTTATTTTCTTGGGGCGGAAATGCGGGCAGTTATTCTCGCTTGGGCGCACCATCTCGATGACATGTAATATCGGCATCATGGCCGTGATATTGGTCATCGACTGCACCGACTCCAAGTCGACGCAGGTGCAACCCCAGTCCAACGCTTGCGACGTCTACCAGATCGTCAGTTGAAACGATTCCCAGCCCCACGACAGCGCTGCTTCCCAGTCCGACGTCTGCACCGGCTCCCAGGCCGACGCCTACGTTGCACCTGCACTCGACGCCTACGCCAGCGTCTCTTTGCTCGCCGTCTGCACAGTCTCTTTGGTCGTCGTCTGGTCTGGCTCACAGTCCGACGCCTTCGTCGACTCCGATTCCAACGCTTGCGTCGACTCCCAGCAGTCATGGACATTCAGCTCTACGCGACAGGTTGCAGCACCAGAGACGCCCACATCCAGGAGGACGCAGCACGATAGATGCCAGCTGCTCGGCTGTGCGCATTTCGATTGGCTGCCGCAGTACGACGCTGACCAGCACAACGAGTCCCAGTAGCATGACGCTGGCAGCACGAAGATGTGCAGCAGGACTGATTCAGCTTGCTGACACGAGCCAGCATCAGTACATTGGAGAACGGGATGGAGTGGTCAAACTCTGCCCCCTCCGTCCTGTCCACACATGCCACATATATTGAACACACTGGGGAGAGGCATTGCTTCAGCCTGGTTCTGATTTGATGCGCCCGTCTCGGGCAGACAGACATCCATACCGTTACGCTCGAAGCCAATGCGCAAGAGGTCTTATTCATGCGTATCCACTGAGCAAGGGGGGCGGACAATTTTGGAAACCTCTTTCTTGACGGAGTGGCCTACATGTACGACGGTGTGCATTCGATTACCATTGCAGCGCACATGTTGCAACGACATTGCCAAGGCGAACACCGGAGAGGGGGGGACACTGTGTTAACCTCTCTGTCCCGGCCGCGTGGCCGATACCACCGACCCCGTCGATTGCAGGAGGAGGAGGAGGAGGAGGAGGAGGAGGAGGAGGAGGAGGAGGAGGAGGAGGAGGAGGAGGAGGAGGAGGAGGAGGAGGAGGAGGAGGAGGAGGAGGAGGAGGAGGAGGAGGAGGAGGAGGAGGAGGAGGAGGAGGAGGAGGAGTGGGACATCGCTGGCTACATGCTGTCTGCCACGAGGGAGCGGAGCATCAGGGCAGGCTCGGACCCCACCCAGCTCCTGTTCCAATTTCGACTTGAAGTCCAGCTCCGACGCCGACGCGGTGACGAAGGGAGGGAGGGCATCTGCCATGGACTCGGCATTCCCGAGAATGGAGCGCCCGACAAGGGCGGACAATGTCTGACCCCCCTTTTCAACCAGCGCGGGTTGCGGGCCTGACACGGGCTCCAATCTGCCAGCTCAGACATCGGCCCCGACTGCCGTTACGACGCTTGAGCCGGCTCCTGCTCCGATGGCGGGTCAAGCTGTACGCATTCACCATGACGGAGTGAAGCATCGAACCGATACGCATGAACACGGAATGGAGGGTCACCATGGCCTCCACGACGTCGCTAGACATTCCTACGGCTTCGACCGCAGCCCAGCCACTAAAAAGATCCAAGTGCCGACGCCAGTACCTACGCCAGCCCCAATGCCAGCGCCTAGGTCAGCGTCGACACCGGCACCGACGCCAGCACCAATGCTTGCGCCTGCACCAGCACCAACAACGCGAGCGCCCGCACCAGCAGCACCGACGCCAGCACGAACGCCGGCGCCTGTGCTGGCACCAATGCTGGCGCCTACACCAGCACCGACGCCAGCACCGATGCCAGCATCAACGCCGGCGTATACGCCAGTGCCGACGCCAGCACCAGCGCCAGCATCAACGCCTGAGCCTACGCCAGCAGTAACTTCAGCGCCTGCGAAAGCGTCGGCACCGACGCCGCCACCAACGCCAGCGCCTACGCAGGCACCAACGCTGGCGCCTACACCAGCACCGACGCCAGCCCCGACGCCAGCCAGGCGCAACCTGGCGCTGGTGCCGACCTCCCAGCAGGCCTAATTCGTGGTCCGACACCTGCATCGACTCGGACCCGTCGACAGCCACGACCACTCGCGTGGACTGCAATTCGTTGTCCGCTAGCCAGACTTGCCATGTGGTGGGAGTGCAAAGGATGAGCGGTAGATGCAGCGGAGGTCTTGGGCTACGTCCACAGCATGTTCTGAGGGCGTCTGCCTGAGGGCTCCGCCCCTCTCTCTCTCTTTTTGTTTATCTCTTCCTATTTCTCTTTCCCTTTCCCTTTCTCTTTCTCTTTCTCTTTCTCTTTTTCTGTTTTCTCCCTCTCTCTCACTCCAAATTCTCTGCGCTGTGTGCGTGCCTCGTGCTTTCGGCGCGAAGTGTTTTAGTGACCGGGCCGGTGCTTCTGCCTGGCTCCGGCGTGCACGGGGACGCTGGCGCTCCCCCGTTTTGGGGGCCGCCAGCGCCCCTCTCTGGTCGGGGCCGCCGCTGATCGCAGCGGAGCCCGTGGCCCCTCGTCGTCATCCACGTGCTCGCCCTGATTCGCAGGCTGCCTTGTTTTCCCTCTGCTCTCTCCTCCTCTCTCCTCCTCCTCCTCGCCGTGCGACCGTACGGATCCACTGCAGCAGTTGTACTGGCTCGGGCCGCCTCTGGATGCCGATGTGCTCGCCTGCGGGGCAGGTGATCCATGCCGCGTCAGGGATCCGTTTGGTCAACAGTTCTCTTGTCTCCCGTCCCTCCTTCCTGCCATGCTCTCCTTCCTGCCGTGTTCGCCTTCCTTCCTGCTCTGCTGCTTCCTCTCTCGCTCGCTTTCCTGCCTCTCTCCTGACTGCTGTTGCGTCTTCCTCTTTCCCCCCTGCCGTCTGCTTCCCTCTCCCTGCCAGTGCGGCCATGTCACCTTTTCGAGCGGTTCCTGCCAGTTGAGTCTTTCGGTGTTCGGCTCTTGGGGCTTGGGGCTCGCTGCGCTTGAAGATCTTACGTGCAGATAAGAGTTTTTGCTTTAACGTATGGCACGTGGTATCTTCTGTCAACTTCTGACAAGCAGCGGTCTGATCCTGAACAAGGGTTCGTCGATATGCCCAACTGGGCGCTTCGGTGCTACGCGCCCACCCCCATAATCGGGACAGCTTGCTGATGCTGCGCCTCCTCCTCCTCCTCCTCCTCCTCCTCCTCCTCCTCCTCCTCCTCCTCCTTACGTGCTCCTCCTCCTGCTCCTCCTCTTCCTCCTCGCGGTGACCGTCGATGCCGCCGCGGTGAAGGCGCCAAGCGAGCGTCTCCAGCGGCGCCGGCGGGAAGCCCTGCGGGCCGCCAACGCAGCAGCGTGCGGCGAGCTATGCGTGGCCGTGGCCGCTGCGCGCACGCCCCGCCCGCAGCGCACGCACGCAGCTGCCGCGGCCCAGCTGCTCTTTCCTCAGGCCTTCGACGCCGCGATCCGTCGACGCGTCAGCGCCTGGTGGCCTCGCCTGGTGGCCCACCTTCGCCAGAGGCGGTCGGTGCCCCCGGCACTTGCCGGGCCACCGTCCGCACGCCGGCCAGCGCCTGGCCCACCTCTTGCCACATGCGCGTGGGGCATCCCCGCTTGCCGTGCCAGTGGCGCTGCTGGGACGGCAATGACCAGATCTCGAACTACTTCGAGTGCCGTGGGGCCTGGTTGTGTGCGTGCGTGCGTACGTACGTACGTGCGTGCGTGCGTGCGTGCGTGCGTGCGTGCGTGCGGTGCCGTGCGTGCGTGCGGTGCCGTGCGTGCGTGCGTGCGTGCGCGCGCGCGCGCGCGCGTGTGTGTGTGTGTGTGTGTGTGTGTGTGTGTGTGTCGCATCGCGCACCATCGCTCCTCACGCAAGCCCCTACACCGCCTGGGGCCGGGCTTGCGGGAGGACCCCGTGGATCTGCAGGGCGAGAGCGGCCTTCCCAGGACCGTCGCCCGCCTCGCGACCATCTATCACACCTACAACCTTATGCGACACCTCCCCGGCTCGTTGCAGCAGGGCCTGGAGGTTGCCAAGGCGCTAGCGCGCGCTGCTGTCCACTCCGTGCGGGTACTTCCGCTCTGCGGAGCATCGCAGCCACAGGGGTCGGTGACCTTCATGGGCGTCCTGGGGACACCTGAAGGTGACTGGCCCAGTTCTTCCTTTTCTCATTCAAGCCAGCGCTCTGACAGAGGCCCCAGCGCCCCGTCCTAGTGGCGCAGAGGAGATCCCATCCAGACCGTGCCTTACACATCTAATGCTACTGATCTCTCTGGCGTTCCGCAGCGGCCGTAGTGTGCTGGCGCTCGTGGAGCTTCGTGCGCTCATCCTCTTGGCACCGTTCAGGGTTTTACACGGGTCCTCCTCCTCCTCCTCCTCCTCCTCCTCCTCCTCCTCCTCCCTCTCCTCCCCTCTTCCCCCTCCTCCTCCCTCTCCTCCCCTCTTCCCCCTCCCCCTCCTCCTCCTCCTCCTCCTCCTCCTCCTCCTCCTCCTCCTCCTCCTCCTCCTCCTCCCTCCTCCCTCCTCCCCTGTGCTTCTGTCTCTCTCGCCATCCTGCACTGCCTCAGCCCGCCCCAACGGATGCACCGCCCGGCCCGAG